ACTGGGATTAGGGAATTCTTCTTCAAACATTTCCCTTTTTACTTCGAAAACACCAAAGATGCTGCCGAGTTAGAAATTGCCGATGTCCGACATGTTTGTTTACAAACAATAGGGTCAACGAGTTCGTTGTATTCATACTCGGTGAATCGGTCACTTTAATTAGCGGTCTTAAACTGCCATTGAAGTACGGTTTTGATTAGCTCTCAGCCAATCAGAATCGAGTATCACACAATGTCATGCTAAAATCATAAGTTAAGTGTGCATCAGACTTAATGACAATTGCTGTAAATGTATTAGCAACACATACATAGACACACATACATAGACACACATACATAGAAACACATATACTAGTACATACATACATACATACATACATACATACATACATACATACATACATACATACATACATACATACATACATACATACATACATACATACATACATACATACATACATACATACATACATACATACATACATACATACATATACATACATACATACATACATACATACATACATACATACATACATACATACATACATACACACACATAAATACATACATACGCACATACATGTCATACATACATACATACATACATACACACGTACATACATGCATACATACATACATATGCATGCATGCATGTACATACACACGCATACATGTATATATACATACATACATACATGCATGCATACATACATACATACACGCACATACATACATATATACACATACATACATACATACATATACATACATACACGCACATACATACATACATACACACATACATACATACACATTGCACATACATACATACATACACACATACAACATACATACGTATGCATACATACATACACATACGCACACATACACACGCACACATACATACATACATGCATACATGTACATACACGCACATACACATACATACACACATACATACATACATACATACACGCAACATACATACATACATACATATACACATACATACATACATACATACATACATACACACGCACATACACATAAAATACATACACATACATGCATGCATACATACACATATACACACATACATACATATACATACATACATACACACATACATACGCACGTACATACATGCATGCATATATATATACATACACACATACACACGTATGTACAGACATACATGAACATGATGCATACATACATACATCCATATGACATACATACACACACATACACATACATGCATATACATATCCACATAATACATATATACATTCACAAAAACAATACATACATATACATACATATGCACACACGCTACAGACACATACATATATATATATATATATATATATATTGTAAAATGTATTCAATTTTCAGAATCGGTGTGAAAGTTTCTAAACATTAAATGGAAGACCAGAAAGCATGAAAGCTTGCAATGTTATTGAATACATAAACTTTGAGGTTTCGTACTTACCTTCTTTTTGAGGTTAAAAAGAGTTTAGTCATTTTCTATTAAATTCGTAGAGATTTTGTTATCAGATAACAACATTCAAGAGATTATAATGTTTACCCTTTAAGCCAAACAATATGCTCTTCGCGAGTGATTCTGCCTTCTGTATAATTTCAATCCATTCTGATAGCTTTTCCATATTTCAACAGAATATAAACATTTACATGAGATATGTTAAATTGTTTCATTTGGTTCGTTAATAAGGAGATGGTACCTCTTTCAGACAGGATGTTGTGTAGAGACCTTCAACTGATCTTAATTCACTACTTGGAGAGACAATCATTATATGTTTTCCAAGAGCTTTCCCTTTCTGTACGTCTTAAGTTTTGTAAAATTAGGGTCATGCAAATTTTATAAAGATACATCAGATTTATTATGTATTTTAAATGTTGGTCTTAGGTCCTTGAGAATTTTCATAAATAGTCTTATTAATATTTGAATAACTCAACATAGCTTGTTTGAGATAAGACGAAACCAGAATTCATCGACAACAACAAATTCATCAAACTCTATATTCTACCATGAAAATCATTCAGAAATGTTAACCCTTTTATGCCACTGTGCAATATATATGGCCTTACCATCAATTTTATGGAGGATTTCCTCATAATGTTTTCAATAGTTGTTTCTTTAGTGTCAAACAGTTAAGATATAAGCTCCAGAGTTGGAGCAATAGATATGTGAACTATCAGCCAGATCATGACATTTGTATTCACTTCAGAAAATAATATGGAAATTTAGTACGGACTTTTTCTACAACAGGTACACTGATGCCACCATAATCTGGAGTGGTGACATTACCGCCCTCTTGATCTTGAACACCAGATAAATTGGAGATATACTGCTGAAACGATGAAGGAGAAACAAGATTTTAATACTACATTTCTGCCAATTGGTGTGTGTTCTCTTTGCCAATAGTTTCATTTCTTTTCTATTTTAACATGAATTTAGCAACCATGTTTCTAATTCATCCAAACTCTATGCCAAGTAGCTTAAGGAAAATTCAGTCCTCATGGTTATATCTTGGACCTATCCAAATCAATTTGAGCATTAACTTTTAGAGAAAACCTAGCAAAAAGATAATAATGATTCATTGTAGCCTAGAGACTTTTTCGAATCCATCTAAAGTGAGTGTAGTGTCATCTGAAATTGTGCCAAGTAGAGATTTTATGTTGCCTAGAGATTACTAATTTCGGCAAAAAGAATAAGTACATAGGGCGAATGGGTCTCTGACGACAACCTTGGACACTGTTAAGGTTGCAAACCCATTACTAAAACACTAGACTCAATATCTGAAAGAGTTTTATCAATTGAATGCTTTGTCGAAGTTGACAAAGTTTAAAACATTGTATAAACTTCGCTTTCTGGAATCAAAAGGCCTTTTCAAAACCAATGGTAATAGAAACCTGGATCTGGTAGGATTCCGTGTATTCTAGGATCATAAATAATCCTATTTACATCACCTATATATCTACCTTTCACAAATCCTTTCTGATCTTCAGGTGATTATTGTGGTAGGAGGCTTTAACTTGTGTAGAAGCTGCTGCTAACTTATAGGTTGTATTTAAAGAATGGTCGCCAGTTTTCAAATACATTTTACATTTTGTTACGGTTATAATTGCCGTGACAAAGGTGCGACAGCAAAATAAGATCTTTCTCGAAACATGTTGAACATACGACATGACGATGTCAACACAAACATCCGGTCAAGGGAGGTAATTCTGGAGCGCTATCATAAAGGCGTGTGGCTAAAATACTGTTGCCACTGAACATATATGACTCAAAATGTGACCCACAACCAACACTCAAAACTTTAAACATTGTGCCTCATAATTATTATCACCTAACCAATGTTATTACAAATTACAAAAAACACACTCTCGTAACAATTTATTTTCTTTTGGTATACACGTTATCAGGCCTTGTTTTTGAGATATGGATAAGGATCCTGTTTTATATGCATAATTTAGGGCATTAATCAAATATTTATGGAGATTTATCCAAAAGAATTTAAGAATTCAGCTGTGTAGGTATCTGGGCCAGAGCTTCTATCATGTTTCATATTTTAAATGCTTCATGCACCTCTTGATAAGTAAGTTCACCTTCCAAAGAGAGTGATGTTTGATAATCTAGCCTTGGCACTAAAACTTCCGAAAATAAATTTTCATGGTCAATCTGTGTACAGTCTTCTGTTTTGTATAATTTAACATAATACTTTCTTACTTCTTCCATAATTTCACTTTGTTGTTTTACTTTTGTTCCATCCTCTCTTTCGAGGATTGGGATGGATTTATTTAGAAAGTTTCTGTGTTCCAAATGGAGGAAGTAGTTTGAGGGTGTTTCACCATGTTCGATCCATTTGGCTTTGGATCTTATAAAGTAGCCTTCAGTTCTTATTTTGTGTAAATTTTCTAATTCAAGTTTGACTGATTTATATTGTTTCACTATACAGTCTGCCTCCCTATCATCATTTTGTTCTCCTAGCTTACTCTCAAGTTGGTTGAATTCATTTTCTAATCTTGCTTTCAAGGCTATGTTTTCTCTTTTTACTTGTAGATTAAAAGAGTATCGACGCTTGTCTTATGTTTAACAGTAACATTTCCCATAGTAATTGATAATTAATTGTAAACACTCTTTCATCTTCTATAGTTTTGTCTCTAAATTGTTCTCGGGTATCGCTTATTATTTTTTTTATAATTTCCACGTATTTCGTAACAGCGAATTATTGAACTTCCAGAAGCCCTTCCCTCTTTGTATATCTGAAACTATAATTGTGAGTGACACTTTCGAGTGATCTGAATTCATACTTGGTTGTATATTAGTTTCCTGTACAGAACCGCGAACATAATGGGAAACTAAACAATGGTCTAATCGAGATTGATTCAGTGGTGTTGGTTGTCACCAGGTGAACCTTCTTGTAGAAGGATGCAATTCTCGCCATGGGTCTTTGAGATCTAGGAAATCTATTGTCTGTAACATTTGCTGCCTTGCTTTAGGGTTATTTATATGCTTATAGTTGAAGGTATCATTATCAGGATTAATCACCAAATTCCAGTCACCACATATAACAATATTTTCACCTGTTAATTCTTCTGCTGTATCTCTAATTTTTCTTATGAATTCTGGTTTATCGGAATTTGGCCAATATAAGTTAATCAAAGTATATATCTTATCACTGATAGTCACATCACAAAACAAAACAAAGTATAAAACATAAATGCTTCCGTTTGTTCCAAACATTTGCTGCCTTGCTTAGGGTTATTTATATGCTTATAGTTGAAGGTATCATTATCAGGATTAATCACCAAATTCCAGTCACCACATATAACAATATTTTCACCTGTTAATTCTTCTGCTATATCTCTATTTTTTCTTTTGAATTCTGGTTTATCGGAATTTGGCCAATATAAGTTTATCAAAGTATATATCTTACCACTGATAGTCACATCACAAAACAAAACGAAGTATAAAACATAAATGCTTCCGTTTGTTCCAAACCGAAACCGCCCACATTAATGAACAAATTTACATAAAACACACAGTGTCATATGTCCCAATGTCCAGTACATACCGAGACACCATCTTGCTTATATTAAACGTTATCAAACTACATTTTTCCATAATGTTTGCATGATGTCTCATGATACAAAAAGGTCAATCAAACAGAATGTTACTTACAGTCCATAAGTAACGTTTAGCTGCCTCAGGCGCCACTTACAGTGCAAAAGCAAAGACAACACGTGTAAAGGATGACCTTCACCTTAGCACAAAAGCATCCGGTTTTAGAGTCACGTGGGGTTTTTTTACAAACAAATCCACGGGGTCAATGGAGAAGAAAAGTTCACTGTGTCTCTCTTCACACGGAATCTTACTGTAGATCAGGATCTGATCGAAGGATGATGAAGCAGGGCAAACCTTGGTATGTCGAGTAATTAACTAGCACGTTCCGTTTATCCATATAGCGTTGTAAATCCGAGTAAAATGCGAATACATTTGGGTTTTTCATAATGTTGATCACTGGATTGACTGGTCCAGACTCGATCTTTTACAGACCACCGCGATATATATATAACTGGAACATTGCTGAGTGCGGCGTTATACACACCAGGAACAGGGTTGATCCCAGAGCCCAACTTCTTGAACTGGCGTCATAGATCTCACTCCATAACATCACCCTAATAGACCAGCGTCGAGGGATGTCTGGTTTCAGCTGGAGGTAGGTGCGGAAGGAAGGAGGAGGATGACAAGAGGCCGACACAGATTTTTTTTTGCGATAAGCATTCCAGCAACTGCTACTGTCTCTTCTTGGTTCAAGTGGATTCTATATAACAGAAAACAAATTTATCAAGAAACAAATTCAGACACATTAATAGATTTTTACTTGGTTATAATCGTAGTTTATTATACGCATTTTGCCCAAAAATACAACAAATACCCGGGGCCGAAAACAACAGTACATTATATACACCAGTTCGTTCGAATCGTGTTCATAAGCAGCTTATACATAATATTAGTCAGTACATTCCTGGAATATCACGGCAGTGACACCAGAAATGGGTTATACCCATTGCACCCATGTGGGGGATTCAAACCGGGTGTTAGGTGTGATGAGCGAAGGTTTTACCCGCTAGGCTACCCCACCGACCCCCGTATCGTACTTATACTCAAAAACTAAACATGCAACTTTATGGATGACAACTTCTTGTTAAATGCATAGAGCGACGTTACGATGTAGATTCTTATACCATTGTCCATAAACTAGAATGTTTCATTTTTGACTCACCAACTTCCAGAATGCCGATCAAACAATAAGTATTTATACTCATAAGAAATAATGTATTGCATGTGTTGGTTTGGACAGTATGTCAGTGTTTCATCATGGCGTGTGTGACACAAACAACCCTGCTGTGAAGACGTCACTGTCGTCGTGAGACGATGAGCACAGATACAGAGCAGGCAGGATAAGAATCAACCCCGTCATTGTCGCAACTAAGGGGCGCAACTCTGCACAGACTAATTATTTGATGATTTAATATGATTTTGTACTGTAAGTCACCATGGTCCCTAGAATGGAGACCTACCTTGAGTTGTTGGCAATCTATGCCTGTTTTTATATTGTGCTGTCCTCGACAGTTAAAATGTTTTAGATTTAATTACTAGTTTAGTCTGTCTCACAGTCCCTGAACCATATTATTCCCCCTACAGCCTAGCCCTGCAGTGCTAAGCTCTAAATGAAGTAAGTCTAGGTTTCTCCAGGTTTTGAATCTGTTGTCTCCCTGGGGCGCCTTTTTAATATAAATGGGTTTATTTGTTAGAGTCAAAATTATATATTTTTTCAGAGACTAAGCGTTGGTCTATTACTAGTTTAACATTTCAATCTGTGATATTCTAGTTGTTTCACTGTCCTTCATTGTCAGTTTTTTATAAATTACCTTTAATTATTATTAATCTATAACTCGATTTAGTCACGATATGGCTGAAATATTTCTAAAGTGACTGTAAATTTTAAGTCACTCACTCACTCGAATATGATTTTCGATCACGTGTTTTGATTGAGCATATCCATTTGTTCCAGTCAATGTTAAAAGCGACATTAATTCGTTGTTCGTACATAATAAAAGTCAGTCAGTCTAGACATGCCCGTGTGAGTGTTCACATCCACTTGTGGCACACCTCTACAGTTTTCACACTATTTATATGTACACACTTATAACTGTTAAAACACAGGACGTTTTTCAAAGCGCTCATAAAATATAACAGAGGGCTGGGGTCGGGGCGCTCACGTGAAATTCGATTCGTTCGATGCCTTTTATCCAAGATTAGAAAATATAATTATTTTGATACTCGAAGATCGTCGAAAAGTTAATCATTTATTGTGAAAATACTGCGAACATAAGAGGTTGTGTTACACTGTGTTCACAGATACGGAAATTGTAATTGTGTATATGATTGACACGCACATTCGCTCTATGACTGAGGTATTGTGGCTGACACTAACGAGAATCGTACAAAATGCCACTGTAAATTTACATCAATGGTTACTATGTCACATGTTGACATTTAAAATAAGGTAAGCTGGAGTGAGTGAGTGAGTTTAGTTTTACACCGCTTTTAGCAATATTCCAGCAATATCCGGACAGGAGACACCAGAAATGGGCTTCTCACATTGCGCCCATATGGGGATTCGAACCCGGTCCTTGGGAGTGTATAAAATTAATGTCCTTCGGGTAATAAACCACTACTGAACACAATGGTCTTGAAGCTTACAGTTTGATATACATTGTACTACGATTGTATGTAAAGATTCTTATGTATGGATCTTAATGTCTCCAAAGAAGCTATATGACATCTGATACCAAGTTACTAAAGATATGTCTTTGAATGACATTTAAATATTTAGTCAAATCTCTGGTGACATAAGAAAATGTGACGGATGCATTGTCTCGCGCTCACCTCTCAGGAACTGCCAGTGACGACCTCGTGGTTGGTAAAGTATATCATCAGTGTCGTGGACAATATTCTCAAACTTTGACAGATCCAAGTATCCAACATCGCACATCGATACTGTTGATGGGTGCATTAAACTGGAAACGTCATGGAACACTCAAAGTAATCTATATGATATGAACCCGTGAAGATAGGGTTTAGAATGGATCTTCAGCAACCCATGCTTACGTAAAGAGGTGACTAACGGGACAGGTGGTCAGGTGCGCTGACTTCATTAACAATGATCAATGCGCAACGCTGTGAATCAGTGGATTGTCTGGTCCAGACTCGATTATTTACAGACTAAGATCATATAGCTGCAAAGTTGCTGAGTGCGGCGTTAAACAGCAAACAAACACTAAGATACCATGGCGTCGTGTTAGAATTGATGTTTCCAACCGTTTTATCAAACTACACAATTTCTACAAAAAATCAGCAAATAACAAACTCAAGAAACGAATTCATACTCCCGATCGGAAAATAAAACAGGTCTTCAAACACAACTCTTTTATCTCAGAATGATTGGTCACATACATACGCCGTTGAGCCTGTTCATACTCTCAGTTATTGCTTACAAACGAACAGAGTGATTTACCTGAGTCTGTCTGTCTCCTCCCTTGACCTACACACCAGGAGAGTATCCCCCAGCCTGCTCAGTCTCCTGGTCATCTCCAGCATCAGAGTCGTGGCTCCACTTCCGGGTTCACATCTCACCTGGACGTGTTTAGAGTTCATGTTCTCCACCAAGACGACACACTGTTCTTTTGTGAGAAACCTGATACTCGTATCTATCTCTGCCAGCACAGACCTGGTTTGAGCCATTGCTGCCCAAAAAGCTGTTAGAACACGGCTGTACTTTGGTTCACTCATGGAGAAAGAAGACTTTGGAAGGAACAACGATGATAGAGCTGCGTGAAGGAGTAACTTTCTGTGGAACGTTCGACTATCTTTCAAATCTCTTCTGCAGATAACACCATGCACGATGTTAACACTCTCACTTGTAAACGCTCGCAGTTTTGATGTCACTTCTCTGGCCACAGAAGTATTATAGTCTCTCTCTGCTCCCGTCGCAGTCGAATCATCAGCCACTGTTAGCATAATTAGGGGTTGCTTGGGCATTGCTATGAATATATCACATTTGTGTTCGAACGGTGGTGGCGACGCAGAGATATTGAATGTTGTTGCTAGAGATTCTGACAAAAACACAAGGCAAGAAGCGTCTGTGCACGTGCCAGAACATGCGCCTTTCACTATATTGTCACTTGATAAGACACAATCTTCCTGTAATAGTGACAACAACTCCGCGTCAATATCCTCCAGGTCCTTCTTGGATCCGTCAGGCATCATGTTTATGACACCTGCAATGTAGAGATTGACAGATAAATTAGAGACGACAAAACTTCACTTTCGTAAGACATCTCTGCTAAAAAGCAGAGTCAATTATACAATTATGACTATATCATGAGAATGTGTTTGTTGGACACCGCATTCAGCATTATTACATCTGAAGCTCTACAGTACATCATAAAACAGTATCGGAGATGACTGTCTTTTCCTTCACCAACTACTAAGTACTTTGGGAAATACTTTGGGAGTGCCTTTACAATGCTAGTCGTAAGGATCCATCTTGTTGTAGTGGAGTATATTTATACCTTTCTTTTCAAAATAACCTCTGATGTCCGCTATGCTGTTTCCTATTTGTTTCAAAGGCGGACGAAGGAGATCCTTGGTGTTCAAATGGTACACTCTTTCCTCGCCCGGCTGCACCTTTCCCTAAAGACATATAATATCAAGGGTTTTACTGATGTTCTGCACAATCAGGTTCATTTGTAAAATATCAGATCACAGACATGATTTGGAACTTAGCCACAACATCAACGCTTATGTTAAAAATATTGACTTATTTCTGAATACAATTGTAAACTACGTACCTGCAGCATCACCATCTTGGCGCAGTTCTTTGTCGGATCTGAAAATGGAATCATGCTCATTAGTTTCACAATATTTTTGCAGGTAAAGCCGTCTCGAATATCAATTGCGTAGATCGATGCTTATGCTGTTGATCACTGGATTATAAGGTCCAGACTCAATTATTTACATACCGTCGCCATATAGCTGCAACATTGCTGAGTATGGCGTGACACAACAAACAAACATAGCACAGCAAGCATCTAATGTGTAAGACTCCCTTTCTTTGCCTGTGTTTTACTGGTGTGTCACGTCTCTCGTTAACTGGTTATTCTGGCTTCGATGTATCTGCGTGTTATGCACCAACTTAAATGTGCACATTTTATGCGATTATTGAGTAGAGACAACAACGGTGAGACTGATTCCAACTTTTGCGTACATCGAAGTGCAAAGACTTTCTGAGAAACCAATGACACGTTATTCGTTCAAACAGAGATATGAATTATTTCATACGAGTAAACACTAAAGTGATGTTTTGGTTACAACGTAATAGCATCTATGATGGTTACCTGACTGCGAATAACTACCTGTTCTTGTTGGTCCCTGCCTGGCGCTCGGCATTACTCTTCGTCAACATGATCTGATGCTGTGAAGGGTTATGGTTACCTGTCTCACTCTTCCTCAACAGGGTGAGCAATATTCCAGCTATATGGAGGCGGTCTGTAAATAATCCAGTCTGGACCAGACAATCCAGCATGAACAGCATGAGCATCGATCTACGCAACTGGTATGTGCCAACCACCACCCGATCCCGTTAGTCGCCTCTTACGACAAGCATTGGCTACTGAAGATCAATTCTAACCCGGATCTTCACGGGTGATGCTGTGAAGGGGTAATACTAGCAGACACATGTCACTTCCTGGTATGGCGAGGGCTTCTGTGGTATGAGCCTTGCATTGTTACAGGGAACACTTCCTCATATACACGCGGAGATTGTTAAAACCTGTCGGTTGCGAGCTATGTTCATCAGGAACAGCGGGAGGCCTGGTGGTTAAAACGCACCATCGACTCGGCATACTGTGGGTGGTACACTGTGTGAATCCCACTCTTGGGTTTTTCAGGATAGTCCTTTTGTGTATTCGGTATTCTCTGTTTATTAGACCATGTCCCCGTTGTCCATTTACATAATCAGGTCCACGTAGGACATTTTAGAGCTTCTAGTGAGTTTAGTTTTACACCGCTATTAGCAATATCCCAGCAGGGGACATCAGAAATGGGCTTCACACATTGTACCCATGTGGGGAATCGAACCCGGGTCTTCGGCGTGACAAGTGAACGCCTTACCCACTAGGCTACCCCATCACCCTCACATAGCTTCTATCATTCATGGCATGTAATATAAATAGTGAAAGGTATGGTTTGATCATATAATGATTACAACAAAATGTTAAACTTACACACGTAGAATGGACATGGTATATACTGTTTAAGTCTTTTATGTATTGTACAAATTAATATTTTTTTTCTTTTGCGTCTTGTGCTACAGTGGTGATTGAATTATTGGTTTCGTGTGATATGATATCTGACCACATCAACATGGAGTTATGAGAAGTTCGACGATGGAAGAATGCAGTCGGACATTTATCACTATTAATGTTAAGAAGATATGGTTCAACACAGAAATTCAAATTAAATAAGTTGAGTTTTTGAGTATTGGTAAATATACCATATAGCAATGTTCAATCACTGACAAACTCTCCGCTACAATAATCTATACTTTATATAGCAGTGACCGATTCCTTGTTGATTGTTGTTATTCACAAAGTTATCACTTATCTTACAGGTTAAATAAATACGCAAATCAAATAAGCATATACATTTATGTTTTGTTAAAGGAAAAATACTGTTAGTATGGGCCTCGCATATCATGAAATACACGCGGATAGCATCATGGAGATATCTCAGACCCTAAGTATATTTCCGGTGTAAATGTCTTGTGACATAAATACGCGTAACATATATACACACATCCTCTGCAACGATGTGGTATTGACAAAAGTAAGAATTACGCACTTCACTTCATAAGCTCCGTGAAGGGTGTGGGTCGGTGTTCCATTGTACGGACATTAGAGGTGGGATGGGTGATTAGTGCACTGGTGTCTCACAAACAGAATATGAATACAGAAGTTTGAATACCCCTTTTGATGAATGTTTTGTCACGCAACAACAGTTCAGCCATGTCATGGTGACCTATTAAATATATCATATATCTACTGCAGGCAAGCTTGTTGTTGTCCCCGGCCCCGGGACAAAATGACATACATGAACTTGTTCGTACTCTATAAACTCGGCCCACACTCCAATTACCGTCTCTTATAACAGGCACTGTGTACGTTCGCCCGTTCTGACTCAGTTATAACTGTGATAACACTGAATGGGCATAAGTAGTCAGTGATGAATCTTGAAACAAAACCGACGAATTTGACACAGACCTTTAAGAGCGAGGGAGTTGAACAAGTTGACCCATTCCAACAATGACAAAGCTATAAAGTGTCTACCCTGACGCAGTCATATAATATACATTACGCCACTGGTATAAACACCGACGTATTTGACTATTTACAGAGACTGGACAGTTAAAGGGACCACGACGACCTAATCACTCATTTATTCATTTGGTTCTGTACACCAGGTCAGTGTACCAAAACCACAATAATATCCGATTGGATACTAATACACCTTATACACAGATTTGGTTCCACCAAGAAATGACAATATTTAGAAACGTCTCCTGCCGGACATAAAATTAAACCTATACCTTGTATATATAGATACGAATGTAGATATACTCACACTGGGGCCTGCGATTATATCGTCCGCTGGGTTATGTGGTTGTGGTAGATAAAGTTCCCTTTCTTCACAAACATGAACCAGTTATCATCTCTTTCCACGATTCACGAGCGCAGGTAATAATTAGTGGCAGGTCATGTCACGGTCTCTGTCGACAAAAAGATATTGAAAATATTTCTCACTAAATATATTCTCAATGGGTATTCAACTGAACTAACATTAAATTACTGGGCAACCCACACGTCGGCCCTGTGGGAATAATGTGATTGAGATACGGAAGATATTAATCGTGATTCGATACCCTTCTATTCATGGGAAGCGGGGAACATATCCTGTTGAAATGTTTACGAGGTGGTGTATGGTGAACTCGTATTTGCGTCACTTTCATTTTATCACGTCCCTTGAGGAAGTGCGGGTTATCACCGGGAACAACAGTATACATGTGTACGTGTGTAAAATATGTTACATTTGGGATTACGCTTTCTCAGTAAAGTACACATCCGGGTACAGCCAACTTATCGCCAGGACAGGTGCCTGGCTGAGAGTGCGGTTTGAATCCTGGATGGGACTCAACCTAACAAAAGTACTAGAATCTGTAAAGTGTAACTCCAAATGTAACACATGTTACCTGTGACTACTTTCTCAATGACGTTGTGTATTTATATACATGTGGTATTTTAGTTGAGGGATGGGGGAGAACTGTGACTGATCAGAACAATGCTGAATGCTATGAAGGGATGGCTGTAATCACAGATGTAATCCGCGTATGAACCTTCATCTAGTCTGTGAGGTGTTATCCCTCTCTTTATCTAGTTATACTCAGCCCACCCAGCGCGTTGTCCTTTACACAAATTATCAACTTCAAGTGGACTTCTTGAGATATTTTTGTTATTGTTACCATTGTCAACTCCTTAATGGACCTATTGTAAGTGTTACCATTGTCAACGCCTTAATGGTCTTATTGTAAGTGTTACCATTGTCAACTCCTTAATGGTCCTATTGTAAGTGTTACCATTGTCAACGCCTTAATGGTCTTATTGTAAGTGTTACCATTGTCAACTCCTTAATGGTCTTATTGTAAGTGTTACCATTGTCAACTCCTTAATGGTCCTATTGTAAGTGTTACCATTGTCAACGCCTTAATGGTCTTATTGTAAGTGTTACCATTGTCAACTCCTTAATGGTCTTATTGTAAGTGTTACCATTGTCAACGCCTTAATGGTCTTATTGTAAGTGTTACCATTGTCAACGCCTTAATGGTCTTATTGTAAGTGTTACCATTGTCAACTCCTTAATGGTCTTATTGTAAGTGTTACCATTGTCAACTCCTTAATGGTCCTATTGTAAGTGTTACCATTGTCAACTCCTTAATGGTCTTATTGTAAGTGTTACCATTGTCAACTCCTTAATGGTCCTATTGTAAGTGTTACCATTGTCAACTCCTTAATGGTCTTATTGTAAGTGTTACCATTGTCAACTCCTTAATGGTCTTATTGTAATTGTTACCATTGTCAACTCCTTAATGGTCGTATTGTAAGTGTTACCATTGTCATCTCCTTCTGGTCCCTACTCTTAAGTGTTACCATTGTCAACACCTTGATTGCCTTATTGTAATTGTTACCATTGTCAACTCCTTCATGGTCTTGTTGTAAGTGTTCCCATTGTCAACGCCTTAATTGCCTTATTGTTATTGTTACCATTGTCAACTCCTTAATGATCTTATTGTAAGTGTTACCATTGTCAACATCCTTAATGGACCCTATTGTAAGTGTTACCATTGTCAACGCCTTGATGGTCTTATTGTTAGTGTTACCATTGTCAACGCCTTAATGGTCTTATTGTAAGTGTTACCATTGTCAACGCCTTTCAATGGTCCTATTGTTAAGTGTTACCATTGTCAACGCCTTTAATGGTCTTATTGTTAGTGTTACCATTGTCAACTCCTTAAAGGTCCTTATTGTAGTGTTACCATTGTCAACTCCTTAATGGTCTTATTGTAAGTGTTACCATTGTCAACTCCTTCATTGTCCTATTGTAAGTGTTACCATTGTCAACTCCTTAATTGCCTTGTTGTAAAGTGTTAGCATTGTCAACTCCTTAATGGTCCTATTGTAAGTGTTACCATTGTCAACGCCTTAATGGTCTTATTGTTAGTGTTACCACTGTCAACTCCTTAATTGTCCTTCATTGTTAGTGTTACCATTGTCAGCCTCCTTAATTGCCCTTCATTGTGGTGTTAGCCATTGTCAACTCCTTTCATTGTCCTATTGTCAACTCCAATGTTACCATTGTCAACGCCTTAATGGTCTTGTTGTAAGTGTTACCATTGTCAACTCCTTAATGGTCCTATTGTAAGTGTTACCATTGTCAACGCCTTAATGGTCTTATTGTAAGTGTTACCATTGTCAACTCCTTAATGGTCCTATTGTAAGTGTTACCTTTGTCAACTCCTTAATGGTCCTATTGTAAGTGTTACCATTGTCAACGCCTTAATGGTCTTATTGTAAGTGTTACCATTGTCAACTCCTTAATGGTCCTATTGTAAGTGTTACCATTGTCAACGCCTTAATGGTCTTATTGTAAGTGTTACCATTGTCAACTCCTTAATGGTCTTATTGTAAGTGTTACCATTGTCAACTCCTTAATGGTCCTATTGTAAGTGTTACCTTTGTCAACTCCTTAATGGTCCTATTGTAAGTGTTACCATTGTCAACTCCTTAATGGTCTTATTGTTATTGTTACCTTTGTCAACTCCTTAATGGTCCTATTGTAAGTGTTACCATTGTCAACTCCTTAATGGTCCTATTGTAAGTGTTACCTTTGTCAACTCC